CCTACAATCCACCGCGTTCCTTAAGATCACTAAATTCAAGGCTTCTGGTCATTCCTAGGATATCGAAGTCCAGTAAAGGAGGGAGGGCGTTCTCGCATTTAGCTCCAAAACTCTGGAATGGCCTTCCCGATACGGTCCGAGCCTCTGACTCGCTGACACAGTTCAAAACTAGATTAAAGACGCATCTCTTTAGTCAAGCATTCACATAATGCTTACCTTCTAGTCCTCTGTTATGCCATACGGAACCGTTTGCCACTGAAACTGCTTAACGCACCAGTGGGGCTCGACAGCCTCTTAGACAAACGGGTCGGCGCGTATGGTTGGGTTGCGGAGAGTTCGGGTTACGGAGAGTTTGTGAGTTATAACGGAAATTATTATGAACATCAGCTATGCTAATTATTTCCCATCTGCCTTTCTGCTGTTATCTCGGGACGCTTGTCCCGAGAAAAATGGCGTTCGTCAGGTCCAGTTTTGTGTCCAGCCTCTCACGGGGATTTCGGATGCCCCAACGCCTGTGATGAGACGACTCAACGCCTGTGATGAGACGACTCAACGCCTGCGATATGTTATGGCGCCGTTTGATTCATAAACAATATTTATATTTAATATTTATATTTAAACAATATGAATGTAAGCCAGAGGAGAACTGGCCCCCGACTGAGCCTGGGTTCTCCCAAGGTTTTTTCTCCATCCAATCTGATGGAGTTTGGTTCCTTGCCACTGTCGCCTTGCTTTTGGCTTGCTTTGAGCTTGCTCAGTTGGGGTTATTTATTTAGTGTTTAGCAATGTTGTTGATCTGTGTTGTGCTACTTACATGTTATCACTGTGAAGCTGCTTTGATACAATCTGTATTGTGAAAAGCGCTATATAAATAAATGTGACTTGACTTGACTTGACTTAATTAGGTTTATACAGTAACGTTTTATAGAATAAAATCTTTATTTCCTTTTTTAAGAACATAAATAAATGAGGATCTGGATTTCACTCCTTTGCTTGTATTTAGAAAATAAATATATATATATATACGTATATATATATATACATCTATGAAAAAAATCAAATCCACGGTTAAATATGCCAGTGACATGTTTAAATTGAAACTTTAAATGACAAAAAAAGTAATTAAATGAATAAAATAACAAAGCTTTTTTCTACTCCACTCTTTTGGTGTTCCAAAAATTCCACTCTTTTGGTGTTTTGGTGTTTTTTTTTTACATTTGTTTTAATGCTTCCTCATGTAGAGTCCACTACATCAGTTGCATTTGAAACATTGCCAGACCTGATCATTTCCAATTACCGTTCTGGGTATGTCTACACATGTAGGACGATACCACTCTTGGCATTTTGAGCACTGGACCATGAGCTCATTGTAATGAGCGGTTCTGCAAAGACAATACACTGGTATTGCAGTTTTGGTCACGTTTGCCTCTGCTTTGCTCTCTCGAGTCTTCATGCCAAATGTGATGCTGTATTTTGTTAATGAAGCATACAATTGGGCCCTCAGCCTGCCTTCATTAAATATACATATCTCTGGTGGATGACCCTTGCACAGAGCATATGCAAATGCTACGCCACAATTGCTCAGATTTGATTGCTGCTGCACAGCTGGTTACAGAACATCAAAATGGTCTGACTTTGGCCTTACCAGCCAGGACAGTGTCTGTAGGGTTCTCAAGTCCAGAGGGGCACTTTTACTGTCATACACAGAGAGCTGATTTTCACCACAAAATAAATTGCTTACTGTGATCCAGTGGTTTTGCCGAATGTTCAATATCTGCACAAACTTTTCTTGTGGAGTTCCGACAATTCCTCCACATGCAATAGCACTAAAGGGCAATACTGACTGAAACCCATCAATGTCCATATTGTCCTTAGCCATGAGGTAGCTGGCCAGGTTGATTGTATCACAAGTCAACCAGTAATCCTGGTGAAGGATTTGTACGCAATTATTTGCGTTTCCACTGTCAAATTTTGTGAATGGTACCAAAAAGCTGAACTGTACCGTACCACTTTTTGGGTACCCTTCCGTTGGGGTACCTAGCACAGTGAAAGGGTACTAAAAGGTGGAGCTAGACTCACTGCAGAACGGTGATTGGTGGACAGAGTATCGTCACTCGTGTGTGCTACAAGGGCATTAGAAGTATATACAGTTGAAATATAATTCTACTGTTATTGTGTCACGAAATGTAGTTTTAAGAGTTTTTCAGGCGAGAAAGTAGTTTTTTAAAGCTCAAATCTGTTGTTTATTTATAGATTTATGATAATTTGACTGAGATCCATTCTAAGCGATCACCGGACGCTCGCGCTCGTGTCCCTCGCCTGGAACAGCCTTTCCTCGGCTAGTCGTTCTGATGTTTGCCGCCGACTCGGATTTCTTTGTAGTGGTTAAACATGAGATATAGTTCGTCTTGTATAAACCTAACAGGTGATCTTTGGTCTCGTGAATCTATAATTCGTTCCCTGGCCAATAGTTTTGGCAGAAGGCTACTGAATTGATTCTTGATGTTATATTTAAGCTTTACTGTATATCTTTTTGTACTTTTTACTTATACTTTTATAATGGCTATTATTGATAAAACTGAAATTCAACAAAAAGAGATAGTTTTTGTTTGCCTAAAATGAACATACAGAGATGTCACAGAGCCAGAGCGAGCAGGGTGCCTCGTTCAAGAACGCGCTGTTCCATTAACAGAATTACTGGACTCGCGTCCTCGAGATCATTCTCCTGAGTCGGACTTTGCGTTGGCTTCTTGGAAACGCCTAATGCCAGCGCTTGTTTCTAGTGACAAACATGCCGAGAAGCAAGAACAAGATCTGCTGTCTGTCATCCATTGTTGTTTACTATGTCGCTTTCTTCGCGCGAAAATGACATCGATCGCTTCTTTCCAGCATACCACGCCTATCAAGTAAGGGTACTGTTGGCGGTGGAAACACAAGCCTGATCATGGTGTACCCGACCCGACCCGTACTGTACTGTACCGTACCGTACCCCTCAGTGGAAACAAGCCATAAAAGTTACTGTTTAATGTTTTGTGTGATCTTGGTCTATAAAGTGTCTTTTTAACAGGGGACAGTACTTTCAATGTTAAGTTTGGATCTGAACCTTTTAGAAAACAACAAGATGTCACAGTGTCTGGTTGTGTTTCCTTTGTTTGTCACTAGAGGTCCTTCGTTATCACAGTGTCCTTCACTATTAACTTAATTTCCCAGCATTCTGTCTGTCACTGTCATTCATTGTTCCCAACTGTTCATTGTTAGTCTTGTTAGATATGTGTATATATTCCCTGTCTGTGTTATTATGTGTACGGAGTCTTTGTTAATTGTCACACCACTTGAGATCTGTGTTCTTGGTTCATGTTTTTGTTTCGGTGCTAATCTTTTGGTTTGGTTATTGGATTTTGACCCCTGCCTGGAAGACTACGATTTTGGATTACCCTATATTAAACATACTGCTTTTGGATATGTCTGTCCCCTGTGTGTGTTCGTAACACAAGATTGACGTGAGAGCCAATGAGATTGCATGCAATAAACAAATGCAGTGATAAACAATGCAATGATGAAATGGTATTAAAGCATAATCTCAAGTTTTTTATTTTATATTTATATATACAGTATATATATATATATATATATATATATTGTAATGATTCTTACCTTTCTCTTTTCTTCCGTCTTCTCTGGTGTTTTGGGCTCCACATACACCTGATCATCATTACTATCCCAGCAAACAAGCTTCTTTGGGGCCCGAATGGGGCCCTTGCGGGCAGCCCACTGTGGGCCCAGATACCGGCGTGAAATGCGGGGCACGTGTGGGCCCCACAGTTCGGGACCCAGGTGGGGCCCCAGTGGGACAGCCCACAAGTGTGGGCTGACTGTGGGCAGGCCCACAGTAAGTAGAGTGGACCCCGTTGGGGCCAGTTGTGGGCCCACGGTAAACCCTTATAGGGGCCGATGTGGGGCCATATCGGGCAGCCCACTGTGGGCCAGATACCGGCGTGAAATGCGGGGCACGTGTGGGCCCACACTTTGGGACCCAGGTGGGGCCCCAGTGGGACAGCCCAAAAGTGTGGGCTGACTGTGGGCAGGCCCACAGTAAGTAGAGTGGACCCGTTGGGGCCAGTTGTGGGCCCACGGTAAACCCTTATGGGGCCGATGTGGGCCCATTCGGGCAGCCCACTGTGGGCCCAGATACCGGCGTGAAATGCGGGGCACGTGTGGGCCCCACACTTTGGGACCCAGGTGGGGCCCCAGTGGGACAGCCCAAAAGTGTGGGCTGACTGTGGGCAGGCCCACAGTAAGTAGAGTGGACCCCGTTGGGGCCAGTTGTGGGCCCACGGTAAACCCTTATAGGGGCCGATGTGGGGCCATATCGGGCAGCCCACTGTGGGCCCAGATACCGGCGTGAAATGCGGGGCACGTGTGGGCCCCACACTTTGGGACCCAGGTGGGGCCCCAGTGGGACAGCCCACAAGTGTGGGCTGACTGTGGGCAGGCCCACAGTAAGTAGAGTGGACCCCATTGGGGCCAGTTGTGGGCCCACGACAAACCCTTATAGGGGCCCATGTGGGGCCATTGTGGGCAACCCACTGTGGGCCCAGATACCGGCGTGAAATGCGGGGCACGTGTGGGCCCCACACTTCGGGACCCAGGTGGGGCCCCAGTGGGACAGCCCAAAAGTGTGGGCTGACTATGGGCAGGCCCACGGTAAGTAGAGTGGGCCCCCATTAGGGCCAGTTGTGGGCCCATAGTGGGCTGCCTGCAATGGCCCCAAATGGGCCCCTATAAGGGTTTGCTGTGGGCCCACAACTGGCTCCAATCGGGGCCCACTCTACTTACCGTGGGCCAGCCCAAAGTGTGGGCTGACTTTGGGCTGGCCCACACAAATTATAGCAGGCTGGATGTGGGCACACTGTGGGTGCAGTTGCAAAGTTTCAGCACACAGAGTAGGTACACCCATATTACTATATGCAGTACAATTGCACTTGTTAGCAGCAATAAATCAAGGGTCATGTTTTTTCCCCAAATAATTTATTTATATTTAATAATAATTATAATTAATGATAATACAGTTTAAAACAGCAATAACCACAGAAAACAGGGGATTGAAAATTAAAAATCAATCCCCTCAGGGGAAACAGTAGGTATTTCTGCAGTTCTGGCCCTTCCTTGCCGTCCCCCATCTCTGTCCCAGGGATTACGGAGCCATGTCTTCATAGAGGCTTCCACATCACATGCAGTGGCTTGACTGCTTTTTGTCACAGCATCTAAGTGAGAAAGGATCAATTGAAATACAAATGTTAAAAACAAAATAAGGGTTGTACTGTTGAGCCATTTCAACCTAAGAAAGTTTTCAACCTGCACTTTGAATGAGGAAACGTCTTCTGATTGTTCCAGGTGCTATTTATAAATGCTCAACTAAGAGAATGACTGAATAGGTCAATGAGAGAGCTGCGGTTTATAATAACATTTAGTTGTAAGTCATTTTGGTTGGTTAATGATGAACTAAGCTTTTACAAAACATTCATAAATGATTAGCAATTGATATACTAACATTTTATGTATGTTTTGTTAATTCTGTTACAAGTCATTTACAAGTGATTAGTAAATGATTAACTTATTTTTTATGAAACATGATTATGCATTTCATAAATGTTTAAGTGATGTTAATTATTGTATGTTTTGTAGATTCAGTTATAAATAATTTACAATTGTTTAGTTAATGATTAACTAATCATTTAGAAAACATTAACATGCGTTTAATAAATGTTCAATAAAGGTTTTTATTTTCTCCCTACTTATTAAAATTTAAATTTAAAATTACAAACAACCACCAGCCTGAAAAACATGTTGTATGAAGACTGTTTAAAATACCCCTCCTAATCCTCACAGAATTTGCAAGACAGAACTGATAACACCTGGGCTTATCGATACTGCGGTCTTCCTTAAAAAAAGCTTGTAATTATTTTTTTTGTACTCGTAATGATTTGTCATTACAAGTGCACAGCTATGTGAGTGGTGTTATTAAGAGTGACCACGGTTAATAGATATGAAAGATATTAATAAAAATGATGTTAATTCAGCCAGCGCACATACCTCTATTTGCTTCCTGTTTTCGGGCGAAGCCCACAGTAGTCGATTGTCGAGTTCACGCGCGCGATCATAAGTGAATATCATCTCAAACCTCTGTGTGTTCAACATCTGATTCGGATGAACTATCCATTTGAGCTGATATTCTCAGAACACCACACAGTGGTAGGTTTGAGACGATATAAATGAACTCACGTGTGAGATCGACAATCGAATACTGTGGGCATCGACAGAAAACAGGAAGCAAATAGAGGTATGTGCGCTGGCTGAATTAACATCATTTTTATTAATATCTTTCATATCTACTGCAGTCAGATTGACCGTGGTCACTCTTAATAACACCACTCACATGGCTGTACACTCGTAATGACAAATCAAGGATGTTAAGAGGCTAAAAGCAGGTTTAGACCATGCCCCATTGAAGTCAGCAGGGTGCAAATTTTAAAAAGATGATGACACAGTGTAGGCAACACCGATTTTTGTCTGTACTGACAGCACTCCAAATGTACAAAAAAAATTAGCTCAATGTTAAAATTGACCGGAGTTGTCCTTTAATTTGGCCCCAGGGCCCGTTTAATGTTTAATACCGGGTTTTGGTTACTATACCAACGTATGGGTGAGTTCTTATGGATGAAGGCCTGTTGTGTTCGGTCTCTTGGTTTGTGGTAGTGGCAGCTATTGTGAAACTCACCTTTGTCATGTACTGGGTGTGGATGGCATCAAGATCTGGTCCTGAAGAATCACAGGGTCAAATGATATCTCATCTGGTAACAAGAGCATAGTAACTTTAGAAACTCTAATGATATCTTTACCCCCTGATATTGCATTGTGGATTTAAATTCAAACATTTAAAGGCTAAGAATATGAGCCATGAGTAAACTGGCCAGATATCTGTAAAAAAAATAACTTGCGTGGCTTAAGTTGTCGACCCCCTGAATTCAGCATTAAAAAGTTAAAAGAACTTTAGTATTTATCATTAAAAAAAATTACATGAAAATAAATAAATACCTTAGCGCTGGACAGTATGGTGTCTCATTGGCCAACATAATTAAAAACACACCTAGAGAATATACAAATGACCATGATATCCTGTTATCATAATAGTTAAATTAATTATTATAACTTATGACCATTATAACATTATATTATTTTGCCAGCTATTATTTAGCCTACAGGCTTCTCAAGGACAATATCACTGAAAAAAAACTGAGGTTAATGAGTGTGAGACTTCATTAAAAAGCATAAATCCTACAGACCCCAAACTTTTGAACAGTATGATTGAAGTTTTGCTTACTAGTCGAGTTCATAGCCGTGGAGGTTGTCTTGGGACAGGGCTGTAGCAGGACATCATGATGATTTTCTAGACTAGAAAATAACATGCAATGTGTCACAGAGCCAACAATGTTACATAGGATTTGCAATAGAACAAAGGGTTTATTACAAGGAATCAAGCTAGAGATGCAATGCAGAAAAGAGAAAAAGAATATATATAAAATCTTAACGTAATATATTGTGCAAGAAATGCATATGAAATTATTATCATGAAACAATAATTCCTCCTTTGTTGTGGAGGTTTTTTTCTGTCCCTTCTGAAATCACTTTTATTATCAATCTTTGTAAGTGACGTCACTGATCAACAGTACGTTACAGTGTGAATTCTTTCAGGCTAGCTAGCAATTAGCTAATTTCCAATAACCCATTGACAAATTACCAGCAAAACAAAAACTGTAATCAACACAAAGATGTGGTTAAAACCCCAAACTTATGTAAAACAAGAGCTAACGTTAACTTAACTTAACGTTTAACGTTACCTATTCTGAAAACAGTTGAGATGCTAACGGACTTTTTCGAAGACTCAAAACCTTTTCTACAAAGTAAATATTCAACAGAAGCGTATCAATTATACGTAAGAAAGGTGTCAGGAACGTTTGTATGTATTATTTGTGTGATTTTGTTAACCAAACTTACCTGAAAGCAGTGGAAAAACAGAGAGACGCTATTTTTGCTGTTTGTCAGTTGAAGAGGTTTCCTCGTTTCCATGGTTTCCATCTGCTCGCGTGCGCTCCTGTCTTTGAATCGGACAACTTTGAATGCGACTCGCACGCGCACGCGCACGCGCGTTGAAATCATATCAATTCAAAAGGCACGCAGCATTTAAACATCTAGAATTATAACATGTAACAATTTAAAATATCATTCATTTTATATCATGAATTAAAAAATCATTATGTAGTTCTATGACCAATGTAATATTATTTTTTTCATTAGAATATGAAAGCACTAAAATGCTTTATATAAATGAAAGTTGGTAATGAAATTACGTCCAGTGACGTCGCAGTTTCGTTTGTGTCTGATTGGGCTCAGTCGTTACATCAGTGATGTAGGCCTTTTATTAGTATCAATAATATATGTTATATATCAATAGTATAAATAATATAATATTATGATAAATATCCATCACTGATGAATACCAAAACATATCTGTAAACCATTGTATTGTTTTTATTGTGACAAATAAGTTAATTTTATTTAATAAATGTGGTAACACTTTCTGTGCAGCCCATACTTATAATGAATTATAGCACCATTTCTACTTATTTATGAGCAATATTACAATTCTATAAATATATTTATAAAGACTCATTAAGACCTACCGCATTACAATATATAGTTACATCTATATTTTTTTATAATTCCTTATAAGTCAAAAATTTGTTTTTAAATGCGCATGCTCATAATCCATTATATGCAGTTTTAGTTAATTATGGACTGACATTTCACAGGATCGTTAAATAGTTTGATTAAGCTTCTAATATTAAACCTTCTAATGTTAAAACATTGACTGTTAAACAACTTAACTTTGCATGGGCTAACTGCCTGCATGGGGCCCCATGTGGGTTTTCTGTGGGCAAACCCACAGTGGGTTGCCAACAGTAAACCCTCATGGGGGCCCCATAGTGAAAAACAGCTGTGGGCCCCGTATGGGCTAACCCACTGGGGGCCTGTGTGGGTTTTCTGTAGGCAAACCCACAGTGGGTTGCCCACAGAAAACCCTCATGGGGGCCCAAATGGGCAAATCTGCTATGGGCCCCGCATGGGCTAACCCACTGCGAGCCCGTGTGGGTTTTCTGTGGGCAAGCCCACAGTGGGTTGCCCACAGTAAACCCTCATGGGGGCCCAAATGGGCAAATCTGCTATGGGCCCCGCATGGGCTAACCCACTGCGAGCCCGTGTGGGTTTTCTGTGGGCAAACCCACAGTGGGTTGCCCACAGTAAACCCTCATGGGGGCCCAAATGGGCAAATCTGCCATGGGCCCCGCATGGGCTAACCCACTGGGGGCCCTTGTGGGTTTTCTGTGGGCAAACCCACAGTGGGTTGCCCACAGTAAACCCTCATGGGGGCCCAAATGGGCAAAACTGCTATGGGCCCCACATGGGCTAACCCACTAGGGGCCCTTGAGGGGTTTCTGTGGGAAAGCCCACTGTGGGCTTGCCCTCAGCAAGCCCACATGGGGCCCCAAAGGGTTTGCCCTTGCCCACACTGTCCCACAGAAAACCCACACTTACCCACAGTGGGCCCGCACTGGCATGTTTGCTGGGATCATCTTTCCTCTCGACCTGTGATGTGTAATAGTGGAATTGATGAACATAACAAATAGAAAACCATAAGATTAACCTGGTGGCCCATATGAGATTAGGTCAAATTGTAATAATGCAATAATAAACCATGTATAACATGGTATTAAAGCATAATCTCAAGTGTTTATATATATATATATATATATATATATACAGTATATATACTGTTTATCGTAATGATTCTTACCTTTCTCTTTTCTTTCGTCTTCTCTGGTGTTTTGGGCTCCACATACACCTGATCATCATTACTATCAGCTTTCCTCTCGACCTGATGTGTCGAGAGGAAATGTGTAATGTGTAATGTGTGATGTGTAATAGTGGAATTGATGAACATAGCAAATATGCTTACCTCCCGCTAATTTTACACTTTACAACATACAATTTTAACCAAGATTATTTTTTCTAAAAACAAGCTGTGAATGTTGTTTTAAGATAATTCGACATGAAGATTAGATCAGAAGACTGGTTACAGTTAAATACAAATACATAATTGCTTTTTAATAAATAATTGCACGTATACACAGCAAATTCTTCTAGATTTGTAATATTTGAAATTATAATTATTATTATTATACCCTCTGATTAAAATTACCTTGCTTCTAATGTGTTTGAATGGCAGACCCTTCACTAGTGGAGAAACGTATACTCCTTTACGCTTCTGATTTTTCTTTTTCCACTGTTCCATTTCCACTCGATAGGACTGGAAGAGATGTCGTATGAGCACATACATTACTCTTTTTATGAAATATTTTCCAGCATCTTGTGTTTTTAACAAAGAGTCATTAAAATGACAATGTTTTGTAAAAGGTACAAACATAAAAAATATTTCCATACTTTCTTTCTCGATCTTTCTGTGTCTTCATATTCACGGAGCTGTGCATCATGCATCCGTTGGTATATCTGCACATAGTCATCCATCCGTGTGAGTCTCCTCCTCTGGAACCTAATTTTTTTGAGGTCCCACTGACTTTTTTCCATGATTCCCTGCGTACGATTGTCCTGCGTAAAGTTCTGAAAAACAATTAGCCCACACATTAAATTACAAATTTGCCTTTTAATCAATGAATTCAAATTAATAATCTAAGTTTTACCTGTTTTTTGGACTGACTGACTTCTTTAAAAATCTTGCTGAAATGCTGGTACGCTGAACCAGTACCATGACGACCAATATCGCCTGAAGTATTACGTGATAATAAGATAAGATGACAATATGAATATATATATATATACAGTATATATATACTGTACGTGTGTGTGTGTGTATGTGTGTGTGCAATTATTTATATTGTTATCATCAATAATAAGTTAGTTTAGAAAACCTACCTAGCATCAGACCAGACCACAATGTTGCATGTGGGAGGAAGTACTTGGCCAATCTCGCAATGAATGTTGGTGCATTTTAATTGTTTTCTTCGCCATCGTGGTCAAGAGGTGCTCTCTCTATTACCTGCTGGAAGTGGCTCTGGAGAGGGGTGGTTGCCACATCATTCTGGAAATAATTTTTTTCATTGTACACAATTAAATATTGATGTTTATGTAGCACAATGTTGTGTAGTTAGACATAGCATTTGTTTATAACACAAATAAAAATTTTCTGTGATTTTGTGAATACATTCCAAATGTATGCTCAAATTATGTTAATTATACTAATGAATAAAGGTAATTGACTAATAATTCTGCATCACATTGTGGGTCAGTACTCTCTAGAGGAATTAAGCAAGAGGTAGTGCACATCCTAAATTAAATTAAGTATTTAACTGTCATGTCTTGTCTTCATGTACATGATGTAAAAACACATAATTGTGAATTTGTCAAAGTAGGTCAAGTCAGAGATTCCAACACAAGACCATACCTCGTGACTGTGCAAAGCGTCAGTCAGATGACGTCTTGGGATGAGAATGTGTTGCAGCATGTGCTGACAACATTCTACATGATTAGAAGTCACACTTTGTTAATTACCTTGTAGTCTTCAGCAGTGATGTTTTGATCATCAATATCCAGTGTGCCAACTTGTTCCATAAGGACTAGCAGGTTTTTGTAATGCTTTTCAACATTGTCTCCACTGCAAGGACTACAAAACACCACTGTGGCACTAAGAATCACCTCATCCATCTGCTTCAGTGTTGATGCACATGCCAGTAGCCCAAATGTGTGCATGCCAAGTTTGTAATGTTTTTTCATACTAAAATAATAGCAAGAAAAAATAAATTAATTTTAGAACACTTTAGAAACTACTCTGTTGAAAAAAATACCTACTGTTTTTTGCACAGATCCTTTGCATTCTTCATAATGTGGCTCAGGCATCTATGAAGAATGGGAATGTCAAATTTTTCGGTCTGGTATTGGCCAGTGATAATTTCGAAGTACTTCTGCAGAAGATCCTCTAGACTCAATTTACAGAATGTAAAAGCAATGGAATTTTTAAAAGAACGAGGGAGCCATCACAAATTATCATGACTGGCCTTTTGACTGCTTTTTTCCCATACTGCTTCATCAAGTCCGTTTGAAAAGCCTGCAAGAAGTATGTGACAGAGGCTGTGGTCACAAGTCAGGTAGGTTGCAACTGGAAGAGGAGATGCACCCTTCGAAGGATTGCTCACTACCAATTCATACACATAGTATGGTGGACTTGTAGTGGACTTTTTGAACTATACTACCAGTTGCATCCAGATAGACTATATCCTCTTTGCACCTCTGGTAAAACACTGAGAGTGTTTTCTTGGACCACAGCATAATGCCTTTTGGGTGCATCAAGACTGTTACAAGCCTGGCTCAAAGCAAGCAACAGAATATAAGGAAAGTCCACACACGGAATAGTTTACGAGATTTATTAAATTAATAGAATTATAACAGAATAAACTTGCACAGCCAGTAAAAAGATTGGCTTTTAAACAAAATGAAAATGAAAGCAACAGTGTAATGAAATGAAAAGAAACCAAAAACAAAAATCCTAAACGGTGCGGGAGAGATGCAAGGAAGGCTGGTGCTCTCGCTGGTCTCATCTGAGGCGTCTTTAAAGGCTGCGATCAGGAACCAATTACCACAACTCCAAACACCTGCGCCCAGCTCACCTGTAGGAGACAGCACACAGCCAGGAGGAGGAGCCAGGCAAGGCCGTGACACCCCCCTCCTTACGACAGAGGCCTCTCAAAGAGAGACTCTGGAAAAATTACGCCCTTTTTTTTTTGGTTTTTTTTTTGTTTTTAGCACCCAAACAAACCTAATAAATAACCAACATCAGATTACAATAAACCAAAAAAAAAACCCACATGAATACATTTCCATATACGAATAAACAAATGTTAAAAATACTCAACTTTTGTTCTAGGGGTTATGGCTTGGACACTCCGCCCAAGCCTGCAAAACAGATGCAAAATGGCCACTTGAATCCAGCAGGCTCCTCCCCCCCCCTCCACTCAATCCCTCCCTCGAACCCAAACCTCCAGCAAGTCCCGGTACCTGGAAAGCCAAATTTTAAGGAGACTAGGCAGAGAAGAGATGAGAGATACAAGAGAGAGACAGACAGGACAAG